TTCTCTTCTTGAGTGCAATAGCACACAATTGATCTTTGTTCACCATATTTAAACAAACTTTTTGGTCCATATTGAGGGTACCATACCACCTTAAGCCCGTAGGGCTTGCAGGTAAATGTTTATGTCGAGGGAAAATGCTTTTCACTGAAAGATTCTTCCAGTGGGTGCACCGCGATTAACACTTGAAATAGCCTGTCATTTGCTTTTTTTTCTTTCTCCTATCCGGTATTGACAAGAAATTCATCAGAACTAGGATAATCAGATAGAGCACTTATCGCCTGAGTGTCGTAAAACCAAAACCAAACTAATCACAACGGCCGATCAGAACATGTACAAAGAAAAACATCAGAGGGAGCCAATGACAACTCAGTGTCAACGCGTGCAACCCGCCTGGAGGGCGGGAAAACGCGAGTGACCAAGTGGCGATTGGTTTTAGTTTTGCATCTGATTGGCTGATTGGGTGGCGCGAGTTTCCTAAACCAATCACATAGCACAGTAAAGCAAAGCCAATGCGATCCCGGATTACTTTCGACACTCAATTGAAAATTGCTCTAGTTGGGGACCGTAGGGTTTGCAGAGGGTAATCCCCTCCACTGAAAGATTCTTTTCTAAATTTCAAAGTTTGCCTCAGAGACTTGCTGCTTGACCATTTGTTCACCGTTGGTTTTTTTTTTCTGGGCATATTTTTGAGTTATTTTTTTGTAAAAAAAATACCTCTTAGTCGGCGTGTCGGGTATGTTATGGACGGGTCAATGGGTGAGTGAGTCAGTGAGNGTCAAATCAACCAAATCATTACTGTACCATGAATGCTTCTATCTCCAACACTTCACACAAAAAAATAACTCTTGCACGCCTTGCGTGCCTATGTTTCACCCAAAGGCAACAGGTCGATCTAGAACCACGTTTACTGCAAACGCGAACGGTAGAATTTAATTCTGATTTCTCTCCCTATTCTTCTAATCCTTAATTAGATCCAAAAGGAAATAGAAAAATATCCCCTATTCACAACAAATGCAGACAATTTCACATTTCTGCGCAAAGGGCTGAAAGGCAGACGGCTTAAGTTTGATTCTTGCCGTTTGCCGTTCGCGTAAACGTGATTCTAAATCGATCTCTCTAATGTCCTCCGATATACTGATTGCCGTAAGGTGTTTATATGACTTTCAATATCTTATGTGAGGTGTGTGTCAGGAAAAAAAGAAAAGACCTGGAAGGTCCATGATGTATTTCCATTGTTAAGATCTTGAGTTTGTAGCTTGTTTTTTTAAGTATATACTTTCTGCAAGGCCCTTTTCAACAGGCGATTTTGTTGCGCGCCTCAATGTAATTTTTGTCGCGCTCAAGTTCTAACCCTGGACAAGACACTTTACTCTCTCAAAGTCTCTCTCCACCCAGGAGTATGAATAGATACCGGCGAACTGTCAGGAGGAGCTGAAAAATGCTGGAGTGTAACCTGCGGTGGACTAGCATCTCATCCAGTCCTTCTCTGGCTTGTACCTTTTATAGGATGATCCAGTAGCGGTTAATGTATGTGTATTACAGGTATGGTCGCATAAACCTATAAGGCATTACAAATTGATGTCCTCAAATTATTTTCTTTACGCACTAGTATTATTTTTATGTTTTCATATCTCACCTTGTAAAGCAATCTCCAGGAAATAATGAACATATTTCCTGGTATA